ATGGTCAGGGTGAGGGAGGAAGGGAGGGAGCGAGGAGGGGGGAAATGGTCAGGGTGAGGGGAGGGAAGGGAGGGAGCGAGGAGGGGGGAAATGGTCAGGGTGAGGGGAGGGAAGGGAGGGAGCGAGGAGGGGGGAAATGGTCAGGGTGAGGGGAGGGAAGGGAGGAGCGAGGAGGGGGAAATGGTCAGGGTGAGGGGAGGGAAGGGAGGGAGCGAGGAGGGGGGAAACGGTCAGGGTGAGGGGAGGGAAGGGAGGGAGCGAGGAGGGGGGAAATGGTGAGGGGAGGGAAGGAGCGAGGAGGGGGAAGAGAGTCGAGAGTGGAGCTGAAGGTACGGTCAAAGAGAAAGGTTTTGAGACCGGCCCTGAAGGAGGAAAGGGAGGAAGCGGCGAAGGCACTGGGGGATAGAGTTCCAGAGCCTCGGGGCTGAGAGGCTGAAGGCCACCGATGGTCGGGCGGTTGGGGCGGGGGATGTGGAGCAGACCGGAGTCAGAGGAACGGAGGGTACGGGCAGGTAGGTAGGGGGATAGTAGGTTGGAGAGGTAGGAGGGAGCGAGGCCCTGAATGGCCTTGTAGGTGAGGATGAGGATCTTGAAATCAATCCTCTGGGGGATGGGGAGCCAGTGGAGGCGAGCGAGGGCGAGGGTGAGGGCGAGGGTGGGAGTGATGTGGTCGCGGTGTCTGGTGCGGGACAGTACACGAGCTGCAGAGTTCTGAATGACCTGCAGTGTGGAGGGAGGTGGCGGGAAGGCCGGCGAGGAGAGAGTTCCCATAGTCCAGCCTTGAGGTGACGAAGGCGTGGACCAGGGTTTCAGCAGCGTGAGGGGTGAGGTAGTGCCGTAGTCTCTGGCGATGTTCCGGAGGTGATGGAAGGCGGTGCCAGTTGTGGTGCGGATGTGAGGGAGAAAGGACAGCTCAGGGTCGAACAGAACCCCGAGGTTCCTGATGGCTTTGAGAGGTGGAGAGTGCAGCCTTGGATGCTGATGGTGTCAGCGCCTGAGGTGCGGAGGCGCTGACGTGAGCCAATCAGGAGGGCCTCGGTTTTTCGCATGTTGAGCTGAAGAAAGTTGTCTCTCGTCCAGGACTCGATGTCGGACAGGCAGGCTGCAGAAAGCACTTCACAAAGTATGCTGTAAAGTGAATTGACCGTATATTTGTGTATTTTATATATGTGTGTGTATCCACAAATAGTCGTGGATTGAAAATGACCAATTTATTATTGTTTTGATTTGGAGGGATATTATTAGGCGTGTGGAGTAAGGAACGTGTGGAGTAAGGAAACTTGCCCAAGGTTTTTGCTCTGCCTGGAATTGAACCCAGCTGTCTCGCTTGCAAGGCGAGTGCTCTAACCACTGAGCTACAAGACTCCCACGGTATATCCTGTAAGCGCTTTGAGACGCTTTGAAAGGCGCTTTATAAATGGAATCTTGTTGTTGTTGTTGTTGTTGTATCGAAGGCGTGATAAGGTGCTGTATAAAATGCCGGATTATTATTATTAAATCATCAAGACATCGCAAAAGCACTTTACAGAAAATGTTGCAAAGTGGACTGAATGTATATTTAATGGGAGAAACGCGGCAGCCAGTGGCACACAGCAGTGTCCCACAAACAGTTGTGATTGAGTGACCAATCCTACCATTGTAGCAGTGGTGCTTTTGTAGTCTCTGCTCGCTTCAAATCACCACGCTTCAAATCCCTTTATTCCTCTGGCAATGGGTGTGTCAGCCTGGCTTGGTTGATAACACTCTCGCATAGTTGAGGGTTCAAGCCCCATGTCGCATATAGGCTGATACTCCAGTGCCGCACTGGGGGTGCCCGTGTGAAGGATACTATATAAATGTACAGTGTTTATGTTTTTTTTAAAACAAATCACTACCCCAGAAAGTGATCCGCCAATCAATGAACAAATGTCTTCCTACTGACTGCTGGTAAACAGAGGCGTGTGGAGTAAGGAGGGGGTGAGGTTGACGGATGGAGGGAGGGAGTTGCAGTGGACAGAGTGCAATGACCTAAAGTTCAAAGGATCAGAAAATCTCACCACACAGAACTGCCGGGAGGATTGAACAAAGACTTATTCTATGATCCGACAAGCGTTGGTGGGGGGTGGTTTAGAAGGCTGGAATGTTAAACACTTCACTGCTGTAGACAAACAGACGGACAGACAGACCCACAGACACAGACAGAAGAATCAAAGAGGCAAAAGAACTTCCTTCCTGTTACACCCCCCCACCACCTTCCCAATAAAAGGTCATGTGGCCTAACCAGCTGAACATCAACTAGTAAGTAACTGAGTTAAAGCGTTGGCAGAGATGCGTTGACAGCACATACTTTTTGTGAGTGAGTCTGCATGTGTGTGTATTCTGCTCTTCTGAATTAGGAAAAGCTAAAAAAAACTTTCTTTTTAAAATAAATTGTTTCACTTTTTTTTAAAAGCTGGATTTTCTCAAAGACATGAATTCACTCCACTTCCGAAGAGAAACACACAAAAATAATCACAGCAAACATAACAGCTGTCTAGCATTAGGAGCCACAGAAAGCAGAGAGTTGTGGTGAACGGCTGCTTTTCTGACTGGAGGGAAGTGTACAGTGGCGTTCCCCAGGGATCGGTATTAGGACCACTGCTCTTCTTAATATACATAAATGACCTGGACTTGGGTATAGCAAGTCCCATCTCCAAGTTAGGGAGGGGGTAAACAGTGAGAAGGATAGGAGCCGACTGCAGGAAGACAGACAGAATGGTACAATGGGCGACACATGGCAGAGGAGTTTCAATGTGGAGAAATGTGAGGTAATGCATTTTGGTAGAAAGAATGAGGGGCAATATAGGCGGTAATACAATCTTAAGGGGGTGAAGGAACAGAGAGACCTGGAGGGCAGGTAACTGAATCCTTGAAGGTGACAGGAAAGGGAGATAAGGCTGTAAAAAGGGCATATGGGATACTGGGCTTTATAAATAGGGGCACAGAGTACAAGAGTCAGGAGGTTATGATTAACCCATATAAACACTGGTTAGGCCTCAGTTAGAATACTGCCCCAGTTCTGGGCACCGCACTATAGGAAGGATGTTAAGGCATTGGAAAGGGTACAGAGGAGATTTACGAGGATGGTACCAGGAATGAGGGACCGTGATGATGAGGAAAGGCTGGAGAGGTGAGGATTATTCTCATTGGAGCAGAGAAGGTTACGAGGACCTGATAGAGGTCTTCAAAATCATGAGGGGATTTGATAGGTTAGAAAGGGAAAANCTGTTCCCACTGGTGGGAGTGTCGGTGACTCGAGGCAACAGATTCAAAGTATTCTCCAAAAGAAGCCGAGGGGAGGTGAGAAGACATGTTTTCACGCAGCGAATCTGGAACATCGCCTGAAAGGGCGGTGGAGGCCGATTCGATAACTACTTTTAAAAACGCAGTGGACGGGTATTTGAGGAGGACGGGTTTGCGGGTTATGGGGAAAGGGCCGGGGAGTGGGATTGACATTACATTGCTCTATTCAAAGAGCCGCACAAACTCGATGGGCCGAATGGCCTCTTTTTGTGCTGTACAATTCTATGATTATATGATAAGATCATGGCTGATCTGTACCTCAACCCCAATTATCCGCCTTTGCCCTGTATGCCTAAATGGATCCATTTAGTTTGAAGAGTTCAGTAAAGTTTGCCATGAACATGGGATTGCATTGGAATTTAAGATGCCGGATTGCGTGCCCTTGGTGTACTGAGGAACAATGCCAAATGTTTTCTACTTGCATCAAAAGGAATGTTGAAATCTTGATATTTGAGACAAATTCAGGATTGAATAAACACAAAACTTGGCTTGTCCATTGCAAATGGTCAACACAGCCCAGCCCACCTGCTTCTGTGTGGAAGCACAGTATGTGTTGCTTACAGAGGTGGCTTGAAAATCATGGGACTTAACCATAACAACCTGCATTTGCACAGCAAGAATCCAGGTCTCAAAGTGCTTCACAAAATCTATTGATCAGAAATGAAGTGATCGTCAACAACTTGGATTTATATAGCGTTCTTCACGCAGGGTAGAGTCTTGGAGCGCTTAACAATGGCTTAGTTTGTGATTGCTGTATTGATCGTAATAATAATAATAGTCCTTGAATTTGGTATAGCACCTTATCATTTTGTTGAGACGTCTTAAAGCGCTTCACAGAATATACTGTAAACTGGAGTGACTGTATATTTTGTGGGTGAAACCGATAACCAATTGTGCACAGCAGTGTACCACAAACAGTTGTGGATTGAGTGACCAAATTATTATTATTATTTTATTTATTTTTGAAGGGATTATTACTCCCGGAAAGCGATCCGCCAATCAACTAACAAGCGGGTTCCTACTCACTGCTGATAAACAGAGGAGTGTGGAGTCAGAAAACTTAGCTAAGGTTTCGCCCTGCCCGGAATCAAACCCAGATCCTTTCACTTGCGAGGTGAGCACACTAACCGCTACTCTACAGGACTTGATCACAGTCACAAAAGTAACCAAAAAAGGAGAGTGGGTTGACATAACGTTTTGTGTTTTATACTATGTTCCCCCAAGAAGGTGTTTGCCTTCAGGTGTTCAGGTGGCTTTTCCCCACCCTAGTCTGAACCCAAGGTATTGCATGCACAGTCTTTCCATAGAAGGTGATCTGATTGCCTGTGATGAAATATTCTGGTTAACATGCAGCTGCCTCCGACCTTCACACAACCCCAGAATGCGCCAGGACAGACAGCTAGCTCTATGATGTACTAATACTCAAAGAAAATCAGTCTGATAAACCTCTTCTAAATTATTTTTCATTCTTACAGCGACATGGATCTCAGCAACCATACCGTGGTCTCACAATAACATTGATGGGGAAATCCACAAATGCAGAATCAACTGAAGGTCTTAATAGACAGCAACTTGGAACTGGGTTCCATCAATGAATTCTGTGCTAATGCTTCCCATTCAACACCTGACAGCAGACAGGCAAGTAATAATTTAGCTTCAAAGCAATGAGAATGACTAACCTGGTGAAACACTGGCTCCTTCCACAGAAGATAGACCTGTTTAAAATGAGAACAAAGAGGCTTGAACATAGAATTCCCCAACTACCAAATCGGTGAACGGCATCATCACCCTTGACTTTGATACAGCGCCATGTGGTACAGCAACTTTCACAACAGGAGGACGTGTAAAGCCTTCAAAGGATTTTGCTGTAATGTTTAGTGATGGCATATTTTGATAAATGTGGCAGCCAATTTGTGCACAGCAATGTCTCACAAGGATGTCGGGGCCTTTAGAGAGTGCAGAGGAGATTTACCAGGATGGTACCAGGGATAAGGGACTTTAGTTATGTGGAGAGACTAGAGAAGCCAGGATTATTCTCCTTAGAGCAGAGAATGTTGAGGAGAGATTTAATAAAAGTGTTGAAAATTATGAGGGTTTTTGATAATAGTAAATAAGGAGAAACTGGCGGTTGGGTCAGTAACCAGAGGATTTAAGATAATTGGCAAAAGAACTGGAGGAGACACGAGAATTTTTTTTTAACCCAGAACGTTGTTACGGTCTGGAATGCACTGCCTGAAAGTATGGTGGGGTAAGAGCGAGGGAGTACAATTACTTTATTTTTGAAGGGATTATTACCCTCGTAATAGGCATGATAATAATAATAATAATAATCCTTGCATTTGATATAGTGCTTTTCATGTCTTCTCAACGTCTCAAAGCGCTTCACAGAATATACTGTAAAGTGAATTGACTGTATATTTGTGGGGAACGCGGCAGCCAATTGCACACAGTAATGTCCCACAAACAGTCATGGATTGAAAATGACCAATTTCTTATTGTTTTTTGGAGGGATTATTATTAGGCTCTGTGTGGAGTAAGGAAACTTGCCCAAGGTTTGGCCCTCTGCCTGGAATTGAACCCAGGTCTCTCGATTGCAAGGCTAGTGCTCTAATCACTGAACTACAGGACTCCACATTATTTTGGTTTAATTACACATTACCTTGCAAACGACCAATATGCTTATTATCCCTGTTCCTAAAAACACACATAAAACTATTTGAAATGTAGTTGTAGATATAACATAACATGTAGGAGGAGGCCATTCGGCCCTTCAAGCCTCTGCCCCGCCATTCAATCATGGCTGACCTTCTAATCTAACTCCAGCTAATAACCTGACCTGCCTTATCCCCATATCCCTCCCCACCCACCCCCTGCCTTATCCCCCCACCCACCCCCTGCCTTATCCCCCCCCACCCACCCCCTGCCTTATCCCCCCCCACCCACCCCCTGCCTTATCCCCATATCCCTTAATCCCTTTTGCAATAAGAAATCTATCTATCTCAGTCTTGAATATGTTCAAGGACTGAGCGTCAACAGCCCTTTGGGGTAGTGAGTTCCATACATTCACTGCCCTTTGAGTCAACTCAGTGCGAAAGGGTTGGCCTCTGATTTTAAGGTTGTGACCCCTGGTTTTAGTTTCTCCAACCGGGGACACAATCTCCCACTATCTACTCTATCATGGCTTTTGATGATCTTATAGGTTTCTATAAGATCCCCTCTAATGCTTCTATATTCCAGAGAATATAGGCCCAAATTGGTCAACCTCTCCTCGTAACTCATCCCCTTCATCCCTGGTACTAACCCAGTAAATCTACGCTGCACCCCCTCCAAGGGAAGTACGTCCTTCCTTAAATAAGGAGACCAAAACTGCACACAGTATTCCAGGTGTGGTCTCACAGGGCCCTTTACAGTTGCAGTAAGACTTCCCTACTCTTATACTCTAATCCTTTCATACTGAATGCTAACATACCGTTCGCCTTCCTAATTGCTGCTGCACCTACAGACTAACTTTCTGTGATTGGTGTACAAGGACACCCAAGTCCCTCTGGACACTAACACATTCCAATCTCTAAAAAATAACTCGCTCTACTGGTTTTGCTACCGAGGTGGATGACTTCCCTACATTATACTTTATCTGCCACCTACTGCCAAATCACCTAACCTATCTATGTCTCGCTGCATTTTTTTAATGTCGTCCTCTGTGTTGGCACTTCCTCCTAGTTTTGTGTCATATTTTACTTCTGATCTCTTCAATCTGTTGTGGCATCGTATTGGTGACACTTAGCATTTAAAGTGACCATTTTACATGGATGCCGTTCACAGTTTCTATAAAACTTATTTGTTTCCAACGAATTGGTGAAAACTTGTACCCATGTATTAACGATGGGCCGAATGGCCTCCTTCTGTGCTGTAAGATTCTATGATAAACTGAATTTGTGGGACATTGGATGTGCCAATTGGCTGTCACATTCGCCAACCAAGTGAATGATTAATTTTATTGGGAAACTCTCTTTCAAGTAGTTCAGTTTAACGTCTCAAACGAAAGACATCACCTCAGATAATACACCTGAGAACTCTACTGGAGTATCAGCCTAGTCCAAAACTGGGGCTTAGACCACAACCTTCTGACTCAGAGGCAAACATGCTATTGACTGAGCTAAGCTGACACACTTATTTTTATAAGATAAACATAAACAAATGGAAATGAAAATAAATGGAATGAATTCTAGTGCGATGTTTACAACTTTCACACGACACAGAATGGCTAATTGATGTCCCCAATAATTTAAACAGAAAATGAGCACTTACTGTGGTCACCAGCCCACTGAACATCACCAGTATAAACACGAGAAGGTAGTTCTGTGTGTTCCTGGGTTTGAAGCATTCAAATCTGAAATTAAACAATAAAAATAAATGATCGTTGCATTTGATACAGCACCGTTCACATCAGGAGGATGCCTCAAAGTGATTCACAGGATGCAGGAAACTGGGGAATTGTTGGCCAGACACCAGGAACAACAACAACAACAACAAAATTACATTTACAGAGCGCCTTTCACGTCGGGAGGACGTCCCAAAACTCCTTTCACTTTTTGAACAATGCCAGGGAATCTTTAACATCCATCCGAAAAAGCAAAGACGGAACCTCAGTTTAATGTCTCATCCAAAGGACAAATAATAAATACATTGGGGTGTAAAGAAATTAACTATTATACGAAATACAGTCTTGTGCTCCCTAGGGCTCTGTCCTTGGTTCCCCTCCTCTTCAACTTGTACACTCTCCTCTTGGTGACATCATCAGCAGACGTAGTCAACTTCAATATGTATGGGATGGGATGACAGCCAACTCTACCTCTCCACAAGCTGCAGATCATCCAGAACTCTGCAGCTCAAGTCCTCTCCCGCACCAGGCTCTGTGACCCCCATCACCCCCACTCTCTCTCGGCTCCACTGGTTCCCCATCCCTCAGAGAATAGAATTCAAAATCCTCGGCCTCACATTCAAGACCCTCCACGGCCATGCTCTTCCCTATCTCTGCGACCTGCTGACCCCCTATCAACTGTTCGCTCCCTCCGCTCATCAGGCTCCGGCCTGCTCCACGTCCCCCGCCCGGTCGAACTTTTGGGCTCGCTGCCCCCACCATTTAAAACTGCATCCCTTCGCCTCGCCCCCTCCCTTGCCTCCTTCAAGGCCCATCTCAAGACCCTTCTCTTCAAACCGCCTTCAGTCACCCTCCTACTTCCACCCTCCACCCTCGTGATCCCAACCCCTGACTGTCCAGGATCTTGGGATGCTCTCCTGAAGTGAAAGGCGCCGTGTAAATGTCATCTTTTATTGTATTGTACGCTACAGGACTCCACTCCAGTAATAGCGAGTCCCAGACTGGGATCCCACTCCGGAGCTCCAGGGCAGGATTATAGTAAAGAGTCCCAGGCTGCGACAGCCTAGACTGACATTTCAAAGACTCGTCGTGGGACTTCAACCCACAACCTTCTGACTCAGTCAGGAATTCAAGGGAGAAAAAAAACTGCACTGATCCAGTGGGTATTATATTTTGTCTCCTTTATTGTTATGTCTATTCAGTCGTCTTGAGCAAGGCCCCATTGTAAACAAACACTGGAGCCTGGCCCAGTCGGCTTCAAAGATATCCAGCGTCTGTGTGTCAGTTTCCATGCTTTTTGGTGAGGTTTAGACAGTTTAGTTGAACAGCAACAAGACCGAGGCTCTCCTGATTGGCTCCAGTTGGCGCCTCCAACCTCAGGCACTGACAGCATCACCTTGGTGTCCAGAACCCTGGGGTCTTGTTTGACCCTCAACTATCATTGCTACCCCATATCCGTGCCATGACCTGCTCTGCCTTCTCCCACCTCCGCAACATCCCCTAGCTCTTCCATTGGCTCACATCAAAGGCTGCCAAACCCTCATACACACCTTCATTACATTGGGACTCGACTATGAAAACTCATTGCTTTTCGGCCTCCCCAACACCTCCCTCCACAGGCTGCAGATCATCCATAACTCTGCAGCTCATGTCCTCTCCCGCACCAGGCTCCGTGACCCTATCACCCTCATCCTTGCCCAACTCCACTGGCTTCCCATCACACAGAGGATACAGTGCAAGATCCTGGTCCTCACCTTCAAAGCCTTTCATGGTCTTGCTTCACCCGACCTCTGCGACCTTCTAACCCTCTGCTTGCTCCCTCTGCTCAGCGGGCTCCTGCCTGCTTCACGTCCCCCGTCTCGCTCACCCCACCATTGGCGGGCGGGCCTTCGGGCACTCTGCCCCCACCCTTTGGAACTCCATCCCGCAGTCCCTCCGCCTCGACCCCTCCTTTTCCTCCTTCAAGACCCATCTCAAGACCTTCCTCTTAAACCGTGCTTTCAATCACCCTGCTTCCCCCCCGCTCTCCACCTTCCCCACCCTTGATCCCCAGCTCGGGGCCAAAACACTGACTGTCCAGCACCTTGGGATGTCCTCCCGACATGAAAGGCGCTTTACATTTATAATTTTGTTATTGTTGTTATTTATTTTGCGTCACTGAAAATAATAATATCCCTTGCATTTGGCTTTCAAAGTGAAGAGTTGGAGAAGTGCTTCACAGGACTTACTGTATAGTGACTGTATTTTTTAGGCAAATGTGGCAGTCAATTCGCACACAGTGATATCCCCCAAACAGCCATGCATTAAGTCTGTAAGAATGCATTCCAAACCGGGGGGGTGGTGGGGAGAGGGGTAGGGATAACAAAACAGGTCAGCCCAGAAATCCTGGGGGTGGGGAGGGTGAGGATGGGAGGGGGGATGAAGCAGGATTACAATACAATGTAATCTAGGGATTGCCAGAGTGCATGTTGTGGGGCTGCTGCTTGTTTATCAGCTGTACCCATTGCAGCTTCGCTTGCAACCAAAGGATTCAATATGGAATGTAGACTAACACACAGACAGACATTTTGTCTTTGTACTCAGTGGGAGAGTTCCTGTGGGAGGACTCCTGTGGGAGGATTCCAGTGGGATGTAATTGCAGTGAAAAAAACAAAACTGAAAATAACTCATGAATGACAGACAGGGAGATACCCGAAAACGAATATGCCCATGTCACTCTCAGATATAAGACCTCTCCGATGGTATAAATCATGTCTCTACATCAATCGCCTATTGAAATACTTCTTGAAGCGCAGACAGACATTGTTATTTCATTAGTATAAAAGGTTAAGGTTTTGGCTGACAGTTTAAGGGTTAACAGGAGTGGACTGGGAAGACACGCTGCTCTCTCCAGTTCTGCTGACAAGCCAGGCTGGCTGGTCTGTCATCACCAGTGCCAGGTCTACTGCACACAGGCCAGGATCAACTCGATTCTGCTGTACCAAAGTCAGCTACATTACCTTGGAGCCAGCTCAGCCCTGAGGACAGTCCACTTCCCTCCCCAGGGACTGCGTGAGCCCTCACCTGCCACCTAGTGACGGCTAATCTCCCCCCTCGTTACATGTCCAAATGACCAACTAGTGACTATTCTCCCATTGGGGGGAGAGGATAAGTGGGGTCTCCTTAGAGCTGAACTGGTTCCCATGTTTAGTAACGGAATGTGGCCGGTCTCTAGTCTAGTTCCTGAGCCAGACAAGTGCACAGTATCCCAGGGCAGTCACTGCTGATGACGGCACTCACAGCCCAGCCTGGCTCATCAGCAGGACCTGGGAGGGGGCAGGGAATCCTTCCACTCAGCTCCTGTTAACCCTGCAGCCAAAGGCCTAATGGGTAGGGTGGTCCTCGCTGGACAAGCAGCGGGAAAGCTGGCCAGACAGCGACAGCAATGGCGAGCTATGTGGGTTCAGCTGGTTAGACTCCAGCAGTTACCCCAACGAACACCCTGGGGCTCCTCCAAGCCTTGGCTCTTACCAACCTGTGCCCAATACTTTCCAGAATTAGGTTAGCAGGATACATCCTTCCAGGGAGAGAGAGTGCATTCCATTCGAACAAATATTTCTTGAATTTCCATAGGTATGTAAGTTATGTGAATTCTCAGTTTAACTTGGAGACTCTGTAGCATGGGGATGTGTTTCCGCATGTGACTGTAGGCTTGAACTGACAACCAAGAGACGAGAGTGCTCCCAAATAAGCCAAGCGAGTATTGAGTGAAGATTCTGATACCCCTGAATATTAGCAGAGCACACAATATTTTATGTTCTGTTAAAAAAATGTGTTTCCTTTGGAAAGGTTTTGGTGCCTGTGGTAACTCAGTGAACCATCCGTAAACAATTTAAAACCACAACATTCTTGGATGTTGTAGGCCATTCTTCTCCTCTCCCTGCCCCACCTCCGAGGATTCATGGCTGTGCAGAGTGTCGCACCCTATATAACATGCTTTACAACAGCATAATTCACTAATAACATGTTTGTGCTGCGGAATCCGGTCACTGAGAATTTTCGCAGACCGTCCACTCACTTCCTGTGCCCCAGCTGCTTTACAAACTAAAATGGACAGCTTTCAGTTCAGTGCACTTGCCTGGCTGCGGGGTCATTCCAACATCACTTCCTGTTTTGTACATAAAACAGGAAGTGACACTGCGGTGACCTAATGAATAAAAATCGGTCATTTTCTTTCTTTTAGCAAAGGACACGGCCAGGCCAAGTCAGACTCAGTAAAACCAGCTGTTGTGCCTCACTCTAGCTGGATTAGCATTTCATAATGGAGCTCCAATATATTATATATATATTTATTGAAATTCTGGGATCCATTTAATCTCCACAATAATTATTCCCCACATTTAATGCAAGGATTATTAGTATGATTAAATATTTGTATAGCGGCTTTCACGTCAGGAGGACGTCCCAAGGCGCTGAGCGGATTTCTCCATTTAGTCACTGAATTTTTAATTTTAAATTAAAATCATCTCACGTTACAAGACACCTAACTGTACTGATTCACCTATTGCAGTTTATGACTCTGTACCTGCCAAAAATACATTGTTCACGATTGCGTCCCAATTCCAAAGTGATACAAATTAATAATAATAATCCTTGTATTTGATATCGCGCCTTACGTTGTTGAAACATCTCAAAGCGCTTCACAGAATATACTATAAAGTGAATTGTCTATATATTTTGTGGGTGAATCGCAGTAGCCAATTGCCCACAGCAGCGTCCCACAAACACTTGTAGATTCATTGACCAAATTTTAAAAAATCTAATTTCACGTTTTTTTTAAAAAACACACGTTTTCTCCTCTTAAAAGCGGATTCACTTCCATTTTCCATCTTCCTCTTTGTGGAGGGTGGGGGTGGGAGGGAGACGTAGTATCTTCTTGTAGCTGCCACCTCCAGTGATGTGCTTGGAACGAATGTCAGAATCGAGACAACACTCGGCTGCTGTTAACCTTGCAGCCAAAGCCCTCAAGG